CTATATCTGTTTTCATGAGAAGCCACTTTGAAGATATCAATATGTAATACAACCACCATTGTTAATTCCCTACCACTTTGTTTGTAACTCTGTGTTGTCTGTATTGTGCTTGTGATATGTTGTAAAATGTTGTATGTCTGTTAATGTTTCCCTCCTTTTATCTTTAAAATAAAAAAAAGCAATTATACTCTCACACTTACAGCAGCACAAAACACAATAACTACCATATATGACAATTCTGAATGTCAGCATGTGAATGAATGAAGGTGTGTGGAATATATCTAAATTGAAATGCTTTTTCACTGTAACAACTCATACAATCCTGACGTTTTCAGCAACATGAATGGAAAGGCGTACATTTTACATAAAACACTCAAGCAGAGACAGACAAATGTCACATAGTCTAATTTATGACTGGAAGATAAGAGCTTGAACTCAGGAATTGAGAAGAGAATAGAGATTGTCAAAAACTGGAGGGAAACAGGGAAAGTGATAAGTGGGCCCAGTGTTATTTTGTGATAGTAGTACTCCTGGTCTGCTATGATACAAAGTGAATATAATTCATACTAATACCTTATATACTTCAAAACTGTTAGAAAAGTAGACTTTGGACATACTTGCCAAAAAGGAAATGATAGAATTGAAAGGTAATAGATATGTTAATGGCCGTGAATCAATCAGAACACAACAAAAACATGACTCAAAATATCACACACTACCTCATATATATATACAAATATTGGTTCAATCAAAAATAAATAATAAAATATTAAAAGATCAAGTTGAAGTACTTGTACAGCATTTATTTCTCAGTTCTCACATCAGTGTGACCTATCACATTATATGCAGTTAAGTTTGAATTAATAAGAGGGAAAAAGAAAAAGTAGAATGGGAGATGCTAATACTTCATTTCATGAGGTAATGATGGGACATTTTATTATCTACTGCCTACTATATTTTGAATTTTAAGTCTGACTATATTTGCCATTTTCAGCAGAGTACATCATAACATACTTGTGGTCATAGAGGATATGATTAATAAACATCACATTGATAAATATACTTAGGTTATTTCACAGAAGCAGACACGCACAGTTGTAGGTTACTTTCTTTTCTACCAAAAAAAGTATTAAAAGTAAAACTTAAAGGGGCATCAAAGAATGTATTCCTTCAAGACTGTGATCTGTGGTCCTTTCTGGGAACTAATAGGATTAGTGACTGCTCTAAAAGGTATGAAAATGTTTGGACCCTGTGTACTGTGCCTGCTTTCTCTAGTTAGATCTACTGAGTAAGAATTAAGGTGAGCAACATCCCCACCAACTAAGAGGGTCAATACATGGTCCCATGCATGGCCTTCAACCCAAACAAAATCACAATTTCTTGGAGTGACACAGAGATATAACTAATTTACATGGATTTGGAAGCTTTACAGACAGTGATTTTCTTGTTGTCTCAGCCCAGGGTGTAAGTAGAATTCCATGGCCAGTTACATCGAGTACTTTCAGTAGTTGCTCCCCATGCAAATGGTGACAGAAATCTGAGAAGAAGCCTCAGTGTTGCTTTAATTACCCAAGCCAGGTAACGTAATATAATGAGGCCAGGGTCAATGATGAAGTCTTCTGCCCATGTCCACAACAGTTGAGTCCAGCCAAAACCACAAAGGGCACAAAAACGACCAGCTCTGCCTGCGCTTGGTAGGGAAGGAGTCAGTGCAGCCCATGCTCACTGTTTTGCAGAAGTTCTTTATTTTGCTGTCAAATGAAGACAACAGAAGGCAGAAACTGTGACACTTAAAATTTGGTCTCCACATAGACGGTCATTGTGCCAGTGAAGGACATTCGATGATGTATTTAAAGCCAGAATGTTAACATGAAGATGGGTTTGGTAAAGGTAACCTTGCCTGAGAGAGAAATTAAGAAATTGATGATTTTACAGGAAATATGTCCCTGGTCAGGATCCATGTCACATTTTCCTCATGAAATGTTACATATTTAGAATTTCCAGACTTTTACCTCTCTTTGCCTGTTGTTCTTTCCTAATACATTTGCTTTCAAGATTTTTTTTTCTACTTTTGGCAACTGAGTTTATTTGAAATACTTCTTTCTGTGTAGTAGAGTTGCCTCTCCATACTGTATTCCAAGATTTCCATTGTCAGGAAAAATTTTTCCATGGACTTGTGACTTGCAATATTGTACATGCTCATTTGCTGATGGATAGACATAGGACCATATGGACACTGAAATCCCACTGAGGACAGACGTGGGCCCTTGGCTAACAGTGAAGAAGTGAACCTGTAGCACAAAGGGTGCTCCATCAGCTGTTGGAACTCAGGCCAAGGAAAACACTCACTGAAACAGATGGCGTTCATTGCCAAGAATAACTCAGAAATGTAAAACCACAGAATTAGGAGAAACTCTCAGATCAAAGGAAACACTAAGCATTGAAACACAGTAGTGATTTCAGGACAAGATACCCACTTTTGCTTGAACTTTTCATAAAAATACGTTTTTTCTGACATATGGGACTATGATTTACTTCGTCTTTTGTTTTCATTTGGCCTGTAATATTACAGCAGTGGTCCCGTGTGTCTTAATGTTCATGGACATGTATTACTAATGTGTCCTGCTAGTGCTGAGGCTGAGTCATTCATGTGGCTACAGTGCTCTGTGACACAACAGACATCACTGTTTTTTTCATCATTAATACATACCTTGGGGATATTTACTGAGTGTTGTGCATGAGCCATAGCATTCCATAAGCAGAAAGAAAGGTGTTTTCTGAATTTCTTCTGGCTGGTACGTTAGCTTGGAGAATGAAGTTTCTCAGCTTTGTTTTCTGGCGACACTGGTGTTCACAGGGAAAGCTATGAAACAGAGATCTCTCTGTAGGCTTCTGTTCTATTCCACACTCACCTCAGAGACATGTTTTACCCCAGAGACACATCCCCAGCATTATTGCTTCTGCTAATATGGAAGAAACTATACGTTCTGTAAAGCTGTGTGATCTTAAAGTCATTCATACATTATTCCTTCAATACACACTTTTCTCTTATTGAAATATATAGAATTTGGGGTATGGGCCTCATGAGAGAGGTTTTACCAAATGTAACAAGGACCAACAACACATTCATTGAATCACAGTCTACAATTTGGTAAGGTCTACAATTTATCACTGTCAATGTAAAAACTCAAGACATGTGTTCATAACTCCCAGTGATATCTCCTCTGAGGGAAAGAGCAGATACTGACAAGAGTATACAAATCATTATGCGTGATACATCAGAACAAGGAGATAGTGCATGGCAACTCACATCAAAAACATGTATTTAGAAGAAATTTCTTTGTAAGGAAATGTGAAGGCAAATGGAACACATACGTCCTGTAAAATTATGTCCTAGCTCAAAACAGGTGTTCATACTTTTGCTTTTTTTGGACATGGTAAATTTGCTCCCATGAAGACGTTAATGCAAGATCATAGGCACTTTCAGATTCGTATGGCACTGATTTTAGTGACGGTGCTATCAGTGTTCAATTATCACAAAAGACCTCAAGTTAGCACATAAAAATTTGCACATTTTTGTATACCAGAATACAATAGTTGAGAATTAATACATGTAAATGCATCAAAAATAAATAATATTTAAAAGCATTTATTTGATAATGTCATGATGTAGAAGTAAAAATATGAAATAAAAATCTGAACCTGATATATTACAGTAAACTTCTAAGAATCCTAGAGATGTAGAGAAAAGAGAGAATTAAAAATATTAAATTAAATAAAACTGAGTTAAAACATCAAAATCAATGACTTGCATGTTATCACATTGAACAAAAATACAGTAAAATTTTTCAAAACTATTGAGCATAGAAAAATACATTTCATGCAGTGAAAATAAGCACATGAAATTAAAGAGACATTAAAACCTCAAAATTAAATGTTGTCATACAAAAATAAGTATTTCAAAATAAGCATTTAAACTGAATTGACTTTATGTTTCCATTAATAACTGTACAATATGGAGAGAGAAGCTTTAGGTTTTTACACATTTCTTTGCAAAGAGACTGGCTTATAATTTTCTCAAAGTCCCATGACACCTGATGGTAGCGAGGAATGAACACACAAAAAGCAGATAAATTCACATGGCTGATTAGCTGAGATATTGGTTCACTTCTTTGAGGTGAGCCAGGATACAGAACGTTCACGATTTATGAGAATAAAGGGGCTCACAGTGGGGAAACAAGTATTGATTAAGGCAGATGTTTTGATCAGCCACCAAGTAACATTACCATAAAGAGAGAACAAAATTTGAGCAACAGAAGACAGAGTATAGAAAGATACAAAGGCACTCACTAGGGCAAGAATACTTTGAGAGGCTCTGGTCTCAGGGGAAGATCTAGAGGAGATATTGTGTCTCTGGATATGGTGGACCCGCTGCTTGTGCTTGTACAGAATGAAAACCATGGAGCCACTGGCCCAGATCATGAGCTCCAAACACAAAATATCATGGGAAAATATTAATGCTGCAAACACTAAGCCTGGATCTTTGTCATGAGACCTAGTTGAGCAGTACTGAAAATCCATAGCTTTTGTCATGTTTTCCTTTTTCCTTTGGGCGGTCATAAGCATGGGAATTCTGATGTTTAGAAACATGTGCAGGACCCAGCAGAAAATGTTAAAGGGACCAATGTGCTTCAGGACCTTCCCTTTCAGCTCTGCCCACCTGGAGTTCCAGGGGCTGATGGTGATGGCCTGGAAGACACTCAGCAGGCAGGTGGTGCTGAGAGACACACCTCTAGCCACCCTGTGAACATAGAAAGCGAGTTTGCATCCAGCATCATTGAGGAAGTGTTTCAATCCAAAATCTGACATGACCTCCAGGATTCCTCTGCAGAGAATGAGTAAGAGGTTGGCTATGGTCAGCTGTCTGAGGATCACATCTGTGGACCTTAATCTACATCCACGGAAATAAAGGAAAGCATAATGGTGTAGCAGTGTGCAGTTCCCCAGGGATCCAATGACAAGCAGGGAAAGGAAGATCATTCCAAAAATCAAATTCATGGAGCTCACTCTTTTGCTGCCTGGGACTAAACAAAAACATGAAAAACATGGTATTCTGTATGGAAAGATAAGTTGGGTGACATTTCACAGAAAAAGAATTTAAAATTCTTCACTTCACATTAAAAATCCTATGTGTTGATACTTAAGATATATAATTTTTTCTTAAAAATATTTTTCCAAAAGCTTAGGTGTTTCTTTATACAGCATTTGCAGCCTGTGGCCCACCGCGATTAAATGCTTATCTATTCTCACTTAAGGGTCACAACATGGTGCAGTGCAGGCCTAATAATATTTTACTTTAGATTTCAAATTGATTTAGCATAAAGAATTTATATGTTTCATCTATGTATCACTAAAGACAAGGACTTACCCTTGATGTGAACTTTATATTTCTGCATATTTTGTAGCTGTACTTTGACACACAGTGGTGTTCATTCATAAATACATATACATATATATGTATATGTATGTAAATATAGGTATATGTATAATCTATAGGCATATTTGAAGTCTGCTTGATGTTTAAGTTTGATTATGATGAATTCTAATTCATGTGAAAATATTTTTCTATGTACACTATTATGCTTGAATCAGGATTCATGTTTTAATAAAAGAGTGATGCACTCAGTGATTTCTTCTCAGTAATTTCCGATTTTACTGAATTTGAAACTACACTAAATTTGGCTCTGATATAATCCCACACACTGTTTGCAAGTTTTTGTAGTGGTATAATATCATAAATAATATTTGTCTTTGCTCTAAGCTACTCCTTAATAAGTTTAAAATTTAGATTAAATCAGTGATACACTATTTCCTGGGACTGTATAAATTAATCTTCCTTAGATACCATAAATTTGAATGTTTCTTATTTTAGGAAAAGTAACAGAAGGTAGTAAGTACATTTGGAATGATGCTGTACTACCCAAAAAAATACAAAGTGGAATTCTGAGAGATTATAGATTATCCTGGTGCATTCATATGGCAAATACACAAAGAAGACCTTGAAAACAAAATTAGAAGTTTTATAACCTGGTAAAACTTAGCAAGGCACATTTGAATGTGGAACATTCTGGTGTCTGAATACCTCAAGTTTAAAGTTAATTTTCCTTGGAAGTCAGCTTCCCCTGCTTTAGGAAGGATAACTGTCCAACATTGATCAGAAGACCATGTATATGTGTTTTTGCAGAGAACTAATTGTTCTCAATGAACTTTTGAAACTCAAGTGAGAGAAAAATCATCATACTACATCAGGTGAAACTTTTTCACTCTGTTTTACAAAAATATGGCTGATTCAGTGCACTCCATCACACTCATTATCACAAACATACAACTTTTACTGAAGCAATAGTACCGCTATGTAACTTTCTCTGTGATCTCTGTAGAACAGGTTGAATAGCAAAAGGATTACTGAATCAAAGTCACAAGGCTCCTAGATAACAAACTTCACTGATGCTTGGGACAAAGTCCCACAACCATTTTCCTTCCCTCCTGTGTGCCTGACGGGCCAGATGAATCACTTTTCCACATGTGATGACTTACCCTGACTCAGACTGTGCAAGTCCTCTTCTTGCAGACTCTGCTTGCCAGACCAGGATAGAAAGACTCCCCCAGCATCATCCTGCTTCCAGGCCAGCAGGGGGAGGTGACAGCTATAAGACTCTGACTGTATAGCAGGGGGGCCTCAAGCACAAGAGATACAGTGTCCTTGGTCCCCACAGAAATGCAATTATCAGCTTACCTGTAATTTCAATGACAGCAAAAGATCATGAAGTTAAGATGAATTTGCAGAACAAACAAAACAATTTTTTTTCAAAAACCTTGAGTGCAGTTTTCATTTCCCAGAAATAATTAAAAGTTTCTATGGGCATCCCAAAAGAGAGAAAGCTTCAGTGTTTTAGAGAATAAAACATTCTTTACCATAAGCCTCCAGGTAGACAGAGACTAAATGGTGCAGCAAGAGAATATTGAAAACTCACAGGTGAAGGAATCACAGTGAAGTGTGTATAACTTTGCAATTTTAACTGATTTTATATATATACATACAAATTTCCTGTCCATTTAACATACATATATAATGTGGAATGTTTTGGAATATTTTAGTGATATAATTAATATATGCATCATCTCACAAAATTTAGGGGAATGAGAACACTCAACATACACTATCTTAATCATTTTCAAGAATCCAAAACATTAGTATTGACTGTAATCAAGTCTTCTCAGTACAGACCTTAAATTTATCTCCATGAATTAACAACAAACATCTCCCCTTCTCACCACAGACACCAAACACTGATCACTAACATTCTACTTTTCTGAGTGGAATTTTCTTTCTTTTTCTATTTTTGTTTCTTGAGACAAGTTCTTACTATGAGTTTCTGGCTCCTCCTGAACCTACTGTGTAGCCCAGGCTGGACTTGAACTCCTAGTGGTCCTCCTGCCTCAACCTCCCAAGTGTTGGGATTACAGGTGTGCACCACCCACAGCCAGCCCCTATTGTTTTACATTATAAATATTCATGGGGCCATGCAGTGTTTGTCTTTCTGTGCCTGGCTTTTTCACTTCACATCATGTGTTCCGGGTTCATCCACAATGTGTGGACAGGTCTGCATTGAAGACCGAACAGCACTGCAGTGGGTACACAATCACATCTGCATCATCTGCCCATTCACTGAAAACCACTTAGACTGACTGTTTCTTAGTCATAGTGGGTAACACTGCAGGAATCATGGAAGCACAGGAGTCATTATGACGTTATGACTGACTTTCTTTCAGATAAGAGGTGTGATGTGAAATAGAATGAATGTTAAAATAAAATAAAACTATTAGAGTAAAATATATTGCCACTAGTCCTTTTCAAAATATGTCCCCCATGCTTCAAACAAACTTATTCTGCAATTCTTGTCACTTTGTGAAGCTTTGAAAGTTCTCCTTCATGAGGGTCAGTAGTACAACTATGTGAGCTATCCTGTGTATACATATATACATATTTTCCCTTCTTTCTTTTCTCTTTTCCCTCATCTATTCTTTCATTTGAGGAGTTTCCTTTAATTTTGCAATGTCTATTTTACCTTCTAGATATTATTCACTCTTTCAAGTTCTTTTCACTAATGAGACAATACTGTGTTTACACATGTGGGTCTGATTTATCTTACTTATGAGTATGGTCTGTAGTTGTGACCATTTACCTATAAAAGCCTTGAGTTTATCTTTCTTTATACCTGAGCATTATTCCATTATATATAAATACCTCAACTGTTCTATCCATTCCTCAGTTGATGAGCATTTGAGGTGCTTCCACAATTTAAATATTATATATCGCACTACTATAAACATGGGTGCACATATATTGCTGTGTTATGATGTTTTCAGATCTTCTGGGAAAATCCCCAGAAGGGGAATAGTTGGGTTGAATGGGCCCTCTAGTCTTACTTTACTGAGGAATCTCCAAACTGATTTCCACAGTGGTTTCACCACTTCACACTCCCACCGTCAGTGGAGAATATTGCAAATTAAAACAACACTGAGATTCCATCTCACCCAAGTAAGAATGCCTAGCATTAAGAAATCAACCAATAACACATGCTGGTGAGGCTGTGGTGAAACAGGAATGCTTCCCCACTGATGGTGGGAGTGTGCAGTGGTGAAACCACTGTGGAAATCAGTTTGGAGATGCCTCAGCAAACTAGGTCTAGAGGTTCCATTCAACCCAGCTATTCCATTTCTGGGTATTTTCCCAGAAGATCTGAAAACACTATATCACAGCAATATATGTGCACCCATGTTCATAGCAGCGCAATTTGTAATTGCTAAATTGTAGAAGCAACCCAAATGTCCATCCATTGATGAGTGGATGAAAAATTTGTGATACTTTTATATAATGGAGTATTACTTAGCTACAAAGAAAGATAAACCCGAGGCTTTTATAGGTAAGTGGTCACAACTTGAGACCATACTCATAAGTGAAATAAATCAGACCTGCATGTGTAAGCATTGTGTTGTCTCACTAGTGCAAGACCTGAAAGCGTGAGTACAAACTAGGAGGTATGATAGCCACTGTGAAACGAAAGGAAAATGCTCAAAAGTAAAGCGCAACTGGGATGTGGGAAAAGAAAAGGGAAATAAGGGAAAATTATGTAAATATGTATATACAGGATAGCTAACATAGTTGTACTACTGTCTTATATTGCTCTACAGAAAGGAACAGTTGATAATTACTTGATTGATCAATCTTGTATATCTCTATTTGTTTTCCTGAGAAACCACTTTGAAGATACCAATAAGTAATACAACAACCACGGTTAATTTCCTACAACTTTGTCTGTAACTCTGTTTTGTTTGTATTGTTCTTATGCTATTTTATAAATGGATGTCTGTCTGTTAATAAGTTTTCCTTCTTTTATTTTTTAAAATAAATTAAAAAATAATTTGCATTTCATGAATAACTAATGATGTTGAACATTTTCTCACATATTTATTTGCCATTTGTGTTTCTTTATCTGAGAAATGTGCTGCAATTCAGGCTGGCTTTGAGCTCACTTTGTAGCCCAGGCTGGTCTCAAACTTGCAATGATCAGATGCCCATTTTTGTACTGGGTCTTTGAATTTTGGCGGGCTGATGTTTTTAATTATTTATATGTTCAAGAAAGAAGTTATTTCTCTGAGGGACAGTCAGCTAGAATTTTTTCCCAATTTATGGGTTTTCTTTTTACTATGCTGGTGATTTCTTTAGATGTGCAAAAACTTTTCAGTAAAATAAGGTTCCAGTGATTGATTCTTTGAAGTATTTCCTGTGCAGTTTGGTTTTTGTTCAAGAACTCTCTGCCTACACCTACATCTTCAAGATTTTTACCTGCTTTTGCTTCCAGTAGATTTAGTGTTTCTGTTTTAATATTTAGATCTGTAATCCATTTTTGGTGCATCGTGATGACATGGGTCTAGTTTCAGTCCTCAGCATGTGGTGAGCCAGTTTTTCCAGTACCATTTATTAAAGAGGCTAT